TGGGTTCCCCAGTTCAAAAGAAACATGGACATACTGGAGACCAGCAATGGGTCACAAAGATGATTAAGCAATTGGAATACCTGTCATAAAAGGACAGCTGAGAGCTGGGACTGTCTAGCCCAGAAAAGATGTTTCAGCAGGGATTTTATCAGCCTAGATAAATACTTTGAGAACAAGAAGATGGCACCAGACTCTTCAACTGCATCCAGTAAAAGGAGAAATCCAATAGGTACAAACTGAAATACTGGAAATTTCATTTAAGATTAAGAACCTTTTCCCCTGCAGGAGTGGTCAAACACAGGGACAAGTTGCTTAAAGAGATTGAGTTTTCATCCTCATGATATTCAACACATAGCTGCACACAGCCCTGACAGCCCACTGTAGTTAACACTGCTTTGAGCAGAGGATCAAACCAGTAGATCTCTGGAGGCACCTTCCAATCACATCTATTCTGTTATTCTGGAAAAAACTTTCTGTTATTCTTGAAAAACTATTCTGTTAATGTTCTTCACTGTCTGAACGCAAATCTGTACTGAGATTTCCCACCGAACTCCTTTAACACCTGACTGGTTCTTTCACTACTGGACATTATGTTAAAAGGTTAGAAATTTAAAAAATTACTTTTTCAAAAGAAACTTATGTGAAAACTGTGACAACTGCAGGAGAGGACAGATGTAAAGGCCATATAATTGGACGTAAATGGGATGCATTTCAAAAACACCCACACAACAGAGTCCAAAAACTCATTAACTCCAGGCTATAGGAAAGAGATCTGTTTTTAGCAACAAAGCAGAGCCAAAAGAGGCCAATCAGATAGCAGCAAACTTATTCTAAAGCTGATTGGGTTAAAGAGAGCAGAGAAGCTACAAAGTTCTGTTTTGTCCTCCTGAAGGCTCCTTTTAGAGCCTGGACAAACTTTTTTTTAGTACTGGAAAGGAGTATTTTGATATCTGAGTTTTCCCATGATGCAGGAATATTAATAAAAAAAAAAATCAGTTCTTTCCCTGAGATTGCACACCATGATATTCCATGTTTGTGTCAACTCTGCCTCTAATTCAACCAACTAGAACAATTTACATCAAAGACCAACATATGCCATTTGATCATAAGCCACAAAGGGTTCAGTTTTGTCAAGGTTTAAATCAAGACTGAAGAGCAGATGTTCTGAAGCTTTGGGAGCATGGTGTGTGTAGAGCCTGCATTCTGATTCAGCCAAAACTAATTAGACCTTTCAAACAACCTCTTTCTCCTCCTGTGTATATAACACTTCTGGAAACATTTGTCTCCTCCTTTCCCTGACAGAGTGACAAGGTCATGGCAAACCAATGTTCCTCAAGGTTCTTCAAGTGAGTGTACCACACTGGTTTGAAATAAAAAAAAAAACATTGAAAACTTCACTGATAGGTGCTCCCGCAGCCTTGGCAGAGGGACATTGTGTCATAAAAGAAGCCCACCAGTGTGTTTGTAATTATAATATTCAAGACATATCAGAGGTTTAAAATATAAGGTAATCTTCTCTTTGAAAGGAAAAAATGTTCCTCTTGAATCATGAGGTAGATGCTGTCTTGCAAACTATTACTTCCCCATCTGCTACTGAGTCTTCATAGCAATACTCAGCTGATGTCAGCAGTCCCAGCTTAAGGGACTTCCTTCATTCCTATGAAGGAAGGTGTCTTCTCTGAGGGTGTCTGAGGTCTCTGTGAGGAGCTACTGTTCCTCAACACCTTGCTCCTGGAGAGGTGTGAAGAAATTACTACAAAGTAAGTAGGGTTGTTTTCTTCCCTTTCTGCCTCTTTGTATAGAATAAAGGTGAACAATGCCATGCGATTTCTTTTTACACTTCATTTTTTCAGCTCTCCAAACACAACAGCAAGGATATATAATGAAACATTGATTGATTCAGTGCTATTCGTACTGATGTACCCAAAACTAAGAAGACCTGGCCAAATGAATTTTGGATAAATAATTCAATCAGGTGTAGAGAGATAAGCATCATTTCTTCTGTGAGTTACACAATGCCAGGAGTCACAGTTCTTCCTCAGTGCTTGAGAGTCCACAATTAGCATAGCCCTAGAGTGAGGACTGTTATTTTATATTAAAAATTCCATCATTTGTGAATTAAAGCTGCAGATTATTTTGTGAAGCACAGCCAAGATAAATCTTATTATATAGAACAAATCTTTATAAGTATTGACAAATGTAATAAAATTTCAAACATGAAAGCAAAAGGGAAATTTTTACATTTCAATTCCAGCATTGTAAAAGAAAGTCTTTCATGCTTAAAATTCAAACTCAGTGTGTCAAGTAATTTCACCGTTACAGACTTGAATTACCTGCACTGGCCTGAGGGCATTATTCACTCTCTGAGAAAAATTGTACTTTAATATTGCTATGATTTTCCCAAGTAATTTTTATGCAGAAGCTGGGATGAATTTGAAACATCCATTTCAAGATTAAAGTGACAACACTTGGTGACTGCAGAGAACCATGTAATTGAGAATTGGGCTTAGGGATGTGCTCAAAATTAAATATGGGAATGAGAAAATATTTTTTAAAAAGTATCAAGATTTTGCTTTATTTGTTTAACTTCTAGGATGCAGATATTAAATAAGGTTATAAAATACAAATAAACACTTACTGCAAAAATGTTTAGATGCATACACTATACTGAACACTTACACTGCATGGAAAGACCATGAAATTGTTGGTCACTGTCCTAGCTCATTTAATAATTTCTATCCTATGCAGAAGGGAAGATAATTTTCCCATTTGGTTTTAATGGATCCATTTTTTGGAAGCACAGAATTATCAATCTCTTTTACAGATTATCTTCTGTCTGATTATTTATTAACTTCACCTCAAGTTGGGACCCAGAGAATGCTCTGAAGAGGCTTAACTCCAAAACGGAGCATGTGAACCAAGTTCCACCATTGACCTAGAAAGGGCAAGAATTTAATGTACAAATACATGTCCTTACCCAGAAGTGTTTATCAATAAGCTTTCAGCAGCATGCTTCCAAGTGAAACTCTGGATGAATTGATTATTTTGTAACTTTGAAGAAATGTGCAGTTAGAAAATCTGATGCTTTTATATAATGGATTCCAACAGTAAATAGGGTAATGGGGAGTACCCAATATTTTGATCATTTAAATAAAGTTTACTGTAGACAGTAGATGAAAAATTTTACTATGCTAAAAAGCAGTATGACTTGACAAAGGAAGCAATAGAACAGATTCATTCTTTTCTTGAAGACATCCCAGATTTGCTGTCTCACTATTTGTATCAAGGTGGGACCATTTTATTTCAAAATCAACCATAAATGCTGGTGCCTTGACTTACTACTTTCAAGGCAACTATTTGTCTTAGAATCATAGAATCGTTTAGTTTAGAAAAGATCTCTAAGATCATGTCCAACCATCAACCCAGCATTGCGAGGTCCACCACTAAACCATGTCCCTCAGTGTCACATCTACATGACTTTTAAATGCCTTCAGGGATGGTGACTCAGACACTTCCCTGGGCTTTAACTCTCTATGAATCTCATTGCCAGGTTTTTCATTATAGTAAAACATTGATTAACTGAGTATAATGAGGTTTAGGAGTAGCTGTTGAGCATTGAGAGAATTTATTTTGTAACTGATAGAGGCTGGGGGAACATGACATGGGAGCTTTTCATAACTGAAGCAGGGTTAATGTAGGTTCACATGTATATTAGCTCTTATGTCATCCTTAAATTATTGCTCTGTGAGCCAATGAAGGCTGAAAAGAAGCAGCAACTACTCTGATGAATGAAATAAGAAAAATTAGCCATAAGAGAAGTTAATTAGTTTCCTCTTGTATCTTCACTAGAGTTGCCCAAGATTCAGTATTGGGGAAAAAACAGCATTGTAAAGCAGGGAGAAGAGAATTATTTTTTTTAAACAGAAAGAAAAAAAGAAGAAAAAAAAAAAAAAGAAAAAGCCTCCTTCGAGAATTAAAGGCCTCCTTCCAGACCTACTACCCTGTTTTTTAAGAGATAAGACTGGGAAGATCCACCAATGACTGGTCTTCTAAAAACACAGTAAGAAATCAACCAGTAAACCTCAGTAACTGGGGAATTATACCCCATAACCTAAGCATACTGTGCTCTTCCTACCTGCAGCAGGAGAAATTTAAAGCCACAAGAAGTAATTGTGACATAACTGTGTGTGGTGACTCACTGCCTACTGAAGTCAATGCAAATATTTCAGTACATTAAATCACTTATTAGAGTCCAGCTACTAAAGAACCTAATAGTAACCTGTGCTGGTTCGGACTGGGATAGAGTTAATAGTCTTGACAGGAGCCAGTATAGGGCTCTGTTTTGTATTTGTATTGATAACACAGGGATGTTTTAGCTACTGCTGAGCAGGGTTTTCACAGCATCAAGGCCTTTTCTGCTTCTCATCCCACCCACCAGCAAGCAGGCGGGGAGTGCACAAGGAGTTGGGAGGGGACACAGCTGGGACAGCTGTACCATGTGGAAACATGCTGAGCACGTAGATATAGGGGAAGAAGAAAGAAGGGAGGGACATTTGGAGCAATAGCGTTTGTTTTCCCAAGTTACCATAACTTGTGATGGAACCTGGTTCCTGGAGACAGCTGAATATCTGCCTGACTATGGGAAGTGGTGAATGAATTCCTTGTTTTGTTTTGCTTGCATGCATGGCTTTTGCTTTACCTACTGAACTGTCAACCCCCAAGTTCTCTCACTTTTATCCTCCTTTATTTTCTTCCCCATCCCAACAATGGAGAGTGAGCAAGGAGCTTGTGGGGCTTGATTGTGAGCTGGGGTTAAACCATGACATAACCAAACTATTATACCACAGGATAAAATAGAACATTACACTGTCAAAATTTACAGTTGTGACAATGTATCATAACATTACTTAAAATTAATTCAGCAAGTTTTCTCCTTTTCCTAAATCTCCTCTATGAAAATTGTTTCAGATTTTCGATTTTTCCACTAAGTTTTTACTTACCTGACTAAAGATTTACTATTGTTGTTCTTACTCTTCTGCTACTGAAATGCGGCCCTGATAATTCTATCACTAAGTGGCTGAGTTGGTCTGAAGTTATCTCCCAGGATTCCATCAGAGCCCTCTAAAAGTTCAGCACCTTTAACATGTGTCCTCAGTCTTCGAAATTCTTCTATCTGAAAGACATAAAACCAGACATGAAGCTGAGACACATTCTTCACTATGGGACTAATGATCAAAATCAGCCTTGTCCAGTCCATTCTGCAGCTTTGAAAATGGGAGCGTTACCATATATTAGGGTCGATATACATTAATAACATTTAAAAATAGTTGTCAGCACTTCTTTTAGGATCTATGACTTTCTTAGCCATTGCAGGTTACATCCTATGAATCAACCTTACAGTTCTGCATTGAGAGTAATCACTCTGGTGCTCTTCAAATAAGTGCATTTCAGGAATAACTTGGTTGACTACAAATTGTTTTGTAATTCTCCTAGTGATTTGTTTACTACCTGAAACTGTTGTTGCCTTCTAAACTAGAAGAATTCTGAACAGATTCTTAGCTTCAGAGGATGTCTGTTGACATTCCGTGTGGAAAAATATGGGTTTTGCAATCAAAACAAAATACTGCTTCAAAAGATCTGTAGATGGAGGTACTTAGAAAGTCAAATACAGTAAAAAATAAATATAAAGTATTTCAACTGAGCCAAAACAAATATGTTTCCGGCTTACAGAATCTTTTTAGATTTTTCTAAGTGTAATCTCGTGTAGGGTAGAACACGAGCAGCTTCCATCTCCATCCCTGGTATCAGCATCAAGCGCTGCATGATAAAGAACTGAGAAAACAATGCATATCACAGCAATATTACAATTTATTCTTCAACAGTGCTGTCTTTCAGAGTCTGGTATTTTAAGTAAGTAGTTACAACTACTATAACAATTGGGTTTGCTTTAACATATTCACAAGCTGTCTTAGTTGGATACAGCAAATGTACCTGATGGCTGACTCCCCTAACCTCAGCCTCTGTACTTTTATTGACCCTTTGATGTCTCACTATGCAGTTCAGCTCTAACTTGAAACTGAAGATACAGAGAAAGTAAAGTGGAGCTTGCAGTACATAATCATTTAAACATCTAAGATATTACAGAGATAATTTCTCCATGAAAAAAATTCTATGAAGGAAAATGTAAGTGTGATTCCAGAATTAAATTAAATTAGGTACTAAACCACAGGTAATGGCATTTTTATTCTTATCCTACCTGCAGAGAATACATTCTTACTGCAGCCTGGAAGACAACTGCCTTCATTGTTGTTTTCCACTCTACAGCAGAATTGATATAGACTTATTTACTTGATTTAGAGGCTAGCTCTGCTCTGCTTCATTTTCCTCAAAAAACAGTGTGCTTGGGAATCAACACTCAGCTTCTGGCAGCTGAGATATAAGGTAACAGCTTAGACTGCAAAGACAAAAAGGAGAATGAACTGTAAATCTCCTTGAAAATGCTTTTCGAGGCAGAATTCTGTTTTGGAAGATTCTTGTTGTTGCTTTTTACTTAAAGAAAGCTGAAAACAAACCCACTACGGGCTTGGAATTGAAAAAGTCTTCAGGACTCAAGTGCTGGTAATCACTGAATGGATTTTTGTAAAGGTAGCCTCTTTAACCATCTGAATCAAGTCTGGAAAGTCTGAGGTAATTGCAGTTTAGGAAGGAGCATTTTACAAAAACGCGGCTTTTGTTTGATCTGTTGAGAATGAGATACTTCAAACAAGCACAGATGAAGGAGAGGGAAGAGCAGACTCTCTGCAAAGCTGGCATTTGTGAGCTGTCTCCTACTGTAACTACAAATGTTCCATCTCAGTCCCCACAGTGAAATCTTTCTCCAGGAGGTACTTCTCACAACATAGCTTCCAGTTTCTTTAGTTAGGAAAGTAGAACTGACCTGATCTCCACGCCTGCTCTTTAGTCTTTAGGGAAGTCAGAAATTCTAGCCCTACTCCAAGGGGGAATTGCTTCTGAGATGCCCAGTCTCCTTGTTTAGTTCTTCATTCCATGTTTCAGACTGCCATGACTGAGACCCTCTATACACATGGTGGTTTGCTTCACTTATGAGGAGTGGTTCTGTCAGAAATGGACACTAGCGTGCTGACGTTACTTTTCCTATTAAATTTCCATGTGACAAGGCAATCTGTGTGCCCTACTCATCCTGCTTTACCACATATGGAACCACTTACCATTTCCTCCCAAGACCTCTTAAGTCAATGTTCTGAAGTACACCCTGTCGGACTGCCAATGAAACAGGTGTTTTAGAGGCACATAGCTAAGCACCCTTGGATATTCATGTACTTTTACGTGCCCAGAAGACACTAAGGATGACCTAGGCCTGTTCATACTGAAATTCAGGATCAAGTTCTAACCAGTGAAGAGGTAAATCCACGATGTTAAGTTGCATTTCTACTGAGTAAAAGCATTTAGTTTATATTTTGTAGAATGTTTTTACCACTTCCTGTATTCAAATCCTGAACACTGCATTCTTCTGTCTCACTTGCATGCTTACTGAAGAACAGAACACACAAAATAAAGAATTTGCATGTTTTCTACAAACATTTCTTCTATATGAGGTGTAAAAGCATTACCCTTTTACATGCCTCCGTGACACCTCCGAAGAACATGAACCTGCTTCCTTCCCATTGCACAGAATGCCATGAACCTCTGAGTGCTTTATTTCACAGACTACATAAATTTTGCACAATTCCCACTCCAGCTCCATATGCTAGTTACTATTTCTGTGCTTTAGGAGGTCTTGATTCTGAATGAGGTAGACAAAAGGACTAGAGACCTCGCCATTCAATACAAAACCAGTTAACTCTGACAATGAATATGGCAGAATGACAGCTCCTTGTTGCATCATTATTTAAAATCTCTACACTGAGTGGCTTAGACAATGTATTTGTTCTGGGCTTCAGTGAACCGCAAAGCACATTATTCACTAAAGTTCCATTTTTTTTAAATATAGAGAAAAGGAGCATGAGCAAGTTTTTTTTCAATAATTTCCTGCCCTTTACTGGCCTGATAGGAAGGAGTTTTCTATTTTCTCCCACTGCATTTCAGGGGTGTACATGCATGGGCGAGGTATCTCACAAAAACAGTCAAATCAGTTCTTTCTGGGCTGGGCTGTATATTTCAATGTGAGACAAGTGAGGATGATAAAAATCACAAAAGAAGGACAGGCATATGCAAAAAGGCTACTGCAGGGTGCAGCTTTCCATACAAGCTCCTTTACACTGAGGTCAATAATAAAACTCCAAGAACCAAATTTGCAAGCCCTTATTCTCCAAGGCAGAAGAGTTGCCTGCCCATTTTATCCAGATCTCGCAGAATGACCCATGAAGGAAAAATGCTTTCTGATAGAATTGAGGACTCACATCAAAGAAAATTACTTCCACTGAGGAAAAAGCATTGTATTCCAGGAAAGCACACCTGGATGCTGCAGTCCTGGCTTGCTATTTTGCTATTCATATAACCTATTATGCCTTTGACAAAATTGTTGTTTCTCCTTTGTTTCAAAATAAGAAAATGTGAAAATATATAGATGTGATGATGTACTATAATTGCAATTTTATTCATTTTTTTTTCCCCTTATGACCCATGGTTTGTTAAGCTAATCAATATTGTTATGTTAATTACAGAAAATGAGAATGGGAATGAGTATCTTGTCTCCAACATATGAATTAATTTCATCAGAGGAAGGAAATAAAATCTTTTCTGTACTAGATTGTTATTCTTTATTTACTTGTTATTGACACTCAGAACCTGATTATTTTATGGCCTGAAAAATGAAAATAGAAAGCCTTGAATTTGTCTCTTACCAGCTATAACCACAGATGGTACTAGTATTTATATAAATCACTTGAAGTTTCATAAGCTGCGTTCATTAGTATCCCACAGAAGAAAGTTCTACAAGTTAATGACAAATGTAAAAATAATGTGTTTAAACCCATTAGAAATGCATTTGCACTGAAATATATGCTTTAATACTACAAGCTGGCTTAATAAAATTAAATGCCTTTACCAGCTTTCCATGGATGAATCAAAATGGTATATCCTATATACATCCTCTTATTTTCCATAGGCAAAAGCCCTTGCATTTCTAATTTTTGCTGCACAACCTGCTCTAGATGAACCTGCTTTAGCAGGGCATTTGGACTAGATGATCTCCAGAGGTCCATTCCAACCCCAATTATTCTGTGATTCTGCGATTAAGTGAAATCTCTCATAGGCACTCATGTCCACATGCACAAAAGAGGCCAGATATTTCATTGCAGTGAAAATGCTAATTACAATTTAAAATCTTGGATTTTTAGGCTATAGCAAAATATTCTGGCCCACCAAAATCTTATTTTGGATATCCTAGAGACCTTGCAGTACCTTTCAAACTTTGAATCCCAGAATCACCACCTCTCACTTGTCCCCATATTTATTTTTAATTGACGTCTGAAAGCACTACCTGATGCAAGTTAATTTTTTATCCCACCCTGGCAAAAATTCTTCATGTTCTTAATAATTGTCTTTCCTGCACAACCTTACCTTTAATGTTGCAATCATAACTACTAGTGGGGAGTTTTTTTCTAATTGATGCTTATCTATGACAAATACAAAGCATTGTGGATCATATTGGCATAAGCCTGCTCCAATCTATCACTCTGCTCCAGTGCCACATCTTACCTGCATACTGCATCAGTGGGAAGGAAAAGCTCCTCCATGACTTGTGTGCCCTTTGTCACTGCAATATTCTTGCTGGATTTGGTTTATACCCATCAAAGTAACACAGCAACACAAACCAGGTACCCCTCACCTAACAAAGGTCAAGACTGTGAATCATAGTCTTTTCTCCAGGCACTATGGGTCACTCTTTTCCCGAGGCACAACATTTTTTTCAGGAGTTTTATCCCCTTTGCACCATATTCTAACACGCTGTTTAATTGTGGTAAATTAATACATAATAATACTAACTCAAGTTACATTTCTCTAATTAATTCCTTGCTGTCTCCCATCACATGTGGATGGCCTGAACTGTGCCCTCCTCTGTGCACTGACTGGATTAAAAAGAAATAGAGACTACAGAATCTACAACTAGCAATATCATACTATGTCTCAGTGTAACAGCTGTGGGCTTTGTACCTCTGATTAAGTCCTCTTATTTATCCATATCATACCTGAAAATTAGCTCCCAAGTTACAAAATACACACTCTCTTTAAAAGTTATTCTGAATCTAATAATGCCAACAGAATGCTACTACCTACTCAGTAGTAAGCAGCCACAAGATTTACCTCTTCATAAACAAATAAATAACAGATTTATGATGGGATACATTTAAGTTGTAGCTACCATACAAATAGCTTATTGGGAGCTATTGCTTTTATCCTATGATCAGACCCAGAATTCAATTTCCATATGAAAATAAACACTGCCAATTTCAAACTGTTAAAGTTTGTAAAATATTGTGCTGGCATCACTAGCAAAATTTTAGATTATTAAAGCTGAAATAATTTAAATCTGAATTTATCACCTTTTATACTTTTTTTCCCTTCTGTTTGTACATGTTTCAGGACAGGCGATGAAAATAAATGTATTCAGCTTCAGGGATTCTAGAGAGTTTCACTTAAATTAAACCCACAGTCCTCCAGCTGGGATTCACAGACTGTGGGAGTATATTCATCAGGAGTTTTAATTGTTTTTACCAGGATTATTTGTAGACAGATTTGAAATATTTTCTGTAGAAAGGCTCACGAGTGTAAGATATAATGTAAGAAAAAAAAAAACCAAACACTTTAAAATATATATGTGTGAAATCAAATTTAAATAGGTAGTTTCCATTTTACATTTATTATAAAAATGAATATAAAAAGAGCAAGGTAAATTAAATATAGTTCAATGCAATATAGCTAGCCAGTACTATGTTAACATTTTTCATTCTCCAGGACATTGTGTCTCCCTATGCTTTTTTGTTCCTTTAACATCAAAAAGCAGTGATATTTGAAAGCTTACAATTACGAAGAATTGAATTTCTTTTGCCAATTGACTTCTTTCTTCTTCTTGCGCTTAAATAAAGAATTATTTTAAATGCAGATGATAAATGATAACAAGGTTTTTCATCTCTGACCTTTGCGTTGCTTTCAGTGACTCAAAAGGTTTAACCTTTACTTGAAAAGCCATGTACTGATCTAATGGGATCTTTAAGGAGAACAGATATAACGTTCTGATATATATATATTTGCACGCTATAACCTTTAGCTCATAACCATATTCCAAGGTCACTTTAAGCACAGCCGTTACCTGCACTTGGGACACAGTCAAAGGGTAGCGAAATAGTATCCAGGTGACACCTTCACTGCAGGGTGGAATGGTTAGAGAGCCCTCATACACCCAGTAGTCACGCAGCAGAGGATCTGAAATTAAAACAAAGATGGAATTTTAACGAAATTGAAGTTAATTGCGTCTTTCAATTATGATCGCTTATGATAGCCATGGGCCTGCTCAAATGATGAAGTTAGTATGCAGTAAGCTAAGGTGTGAATTTATAACCTGTCAAGCACTGTCCACTGCTTTCTCATATGAATGTATATAAGCTTGTTGTCATTATATTACAGTAACTTTCCACTGCAGACAAGTATTTTAAATATGAAAATGACACCTTAGAGATGTGAAAAATAACATGTGCACAACTCTTTAACACAGCAAATAAGTAATATTGTGAGAAAGAACTCCTGTTAATGTCAGAACCTTCAATAGCCATCCAATTTTGAAGGCAGAGGGGTTGGAGTGATGGAATTTTAACTGACTTTTACATTTAGGGTACATCTCAAGGATGAATTTATTTCATTTTGTAGAAAAAAGTCAGTGAAAATTCAGCTCAAGAAAAACTTTACAGTTTGCAATTCTGGTGACATATTTTTTGAGATGCACTGGTGCCTTCTAGCTTTCGAAAAGTGAGTTTAATTTTACGGGGAAGGGGGAATCACGGTTTATTTTAGAATTTTTAAAGTTTATAAATTTATTTATAGTTTTATAAATAACTATTAGAATAAACAGTTGTCTGTGAAGGAAATGTACAATATTTTGTCCAAGCAGAGTTTTGACTCTACATACAACGCATATGCTTTTAACTATTTTAATTGCTTTAATTATTTTAATTTTAATTTCTCATGGATTCCAATCACGCTGCACTTCATAAGGGTTTCCTTTGCTGCTGTAGCCCAAACAGCCTAAGAAGTATGGAGAGGAAACTGCCTGACTGTAAAAGAGGGGACAAGAAACAAACCTAGAGAGTAACTGGAGACAAAGGGTGATTAATCATGGCATGGGGAGCTAAGGGAAAGATGGAATGGGAGACGGGAAACATAAACTTGCTTGGTTGAACTAACCTGTTTTTTCACTACTAGGTCAGAGGAATATCAGTGGAATTAAATCTTGCTAATGAAGCCTGTGATTGTCAGTGAATGGATTTTGTTTTATTGGTGTAATTTTCTTTCTCAGTTAGGGAATTACACAGCAAATCCACTGACAGCAAGTTGCATTATCAAACACTCAAAAGTTAAGAACTGCAAGAATTAATTCAGCCCATCCTGTGCATGCATTGTGACACTGTCTTGTTACATGATCATGTATGTCTTTTCTGGAGAATCTGTCATCATTTACTTCCAAAGATGGATGATTTTGTTTTAAAAAGCATCTAATAACACTTGGATTTCTCTGTACAGTATTCTCTACTCGGTCTTCTTCTCCCATGCTCTTCAAATCCTGCATGTTAGAAGGACCATACTCATTTTTCATATTTCTAGTGCACTCATTTCTTCAGTGCCTGAGTGCTTAAGTGAATTAATTTATCCTTCCACATCTCTGTGTGGTGAGGAAGGACGTATTACCCCCACACTTTAAAGTTGGGGAACTGAGGTACAGAGAAGTTAAGGTCAAATGCATCTATTCATTTGAGGTGTTCAATACGACATGCTTAGAACCTGATTTCTCTGAGTAGTTAATTTTCTATAGCACTTAATACAGTCAGAGCACTGCTCCCATTGACTCCTCTTGGAGGTGTAAGCACTCAGCACTTCTGCAAATCAGACCCCATGATCTCAAGTCGGGCACCTAGAAAATGAGGAACACATAGTTAGAGATGACCTGTGGAAATTTTGGGTTATGTGACTTGATCAACATCAAATAGGAACTGTGAGGCAGGGGTCCTGTAAAAATAAATTCTGGTCATGCACTTAGGTGATGTTTTACAATGTATATGTGTGAAGAGGCACAGGCAGCCTTAATTCCTGCAATTCCTAATTGCTGAGCACTTCACTTTGCAACAGAGACACTATTGTTTTGATATAATTAATATATTTTAATGTAGTCCTGGGCTATTTTGAAAAATTAAAGATCTTGCCACTATAACACAGAATTTATCTCAGATGGATTCCTCAATTTTTAGAAACATTTGTTTTTAGAAATGCATTTTTTTAAGTCACATTTCTCACTGATATTCTTTAACTGTTAGTTATATGAGTTTGAATTTGCCTCCCTTTGTCACTACTTCTTCTATGCTATGCAACTCTCACTGCATTACGCCATTGTCTTTTGACACTGCCAAAAAAATACCTTGTTATGTGGGTAGCCTTACACTTCCTATTTTATGCCCAAGTAGAGAAAGGAGTTCATACTGTTGCCTCTCTAGGTGGGATGATAAATCCTCAAGAAAACTAGCCACAGTGTTGCCAGCAGTACAGACTATCATGTGAGTATTATATCTCACTCACATGACAAAGGTGTATATTTACAGTAAATTCCGATGGACTTCATCCCTATCCCTGTTAGCACCACTAGGTGCAAAATGCATTACCACCTTATGGGACACACTCTCAGGCTTGCAACTTAGGCTAAGCTTTAGCTCAAGATTGTCTCAGCCTCTCCAGTTAGCTAGTAATCCACACATGCAAAGTAAACAAAGGCACCTACCTGGTAATAAAGAGTTGGGATTAAAACAGGGTATTGTTTTGGACTTTCCCTGAAAAAATGAATACAAATCAGTCTCATCTCTAGTTTCTTATTAAAATGCTGATGAATGGAGAGGTAAAACGCTTTCTATGTTCTTACAACATTAAGCCCTGCACTCCTGTGCAAAGCAACCTCATTAAGAGTTCCCATTTAATTATCACTGCATTTGTCCTTGCAGCTACACAAACACATATTTTTATTCTATTTTATATTTTATTTCTAAGGTTATCTCAGGAATTTGTTAACTTTCTGTCTTTAGTACCTGGGCTTCTTGCAGGCCCCAGCCTTGAAATTCTCTATACAAAATTCAGGGGTTCCATACAAATGAATTAAAAAAACCTAGGGCCAAAGTGAGCTTTTTCTTAACTAATGTGGATAACATTTAATAAAGTAAAGCAGGTTCCACATATTTAATGTAAAAAAATTTTATGTATACTAAAGTATGTTTGATGCTGACCCTCTAAAAATCATCATTATAACACACTTCACACAATGAAGGCTGTCCTCTCAGTAATGTAACTACAGAGTTCCATACACTACTGTTTTCTCTGACACCTTCATAAGCAATGAGTTTGCAGTATTAAACATCATGACTGAAGTTTACTATATATTAGTTGACTAAAAGTTATTTTATTTTCTAATTTTTCTACACTTCAACATCCACTGAAGTGAATGGCTAATCTCTTCAGACCAAAGAAAAACATGTCATCAATACATCTCAAAATTCCTTTAAAATCAAAGGTATGTATGATTACTTCTGTTACAGATCATGAAGCAGAGAGATGAAAGTAACTTGCCCAAGGTCATTTAAGATAGCAACATTCTGGATATCTTCTCAGTCCTGCTAGGATTAGCATCTCTCCTTCAGGATCCCCACACATAATCCACCTGACAAGTCAGCATTGTGTTCTTGTTGATTTCCCACTGTAATTTAACATGGGTCCTCATTTCATCTATTCTTTTCCTCTACAAATTAAAACCAGATAAGTTTTGAGATACTGCTCCTGGCATTCACTAAGCATGTTGTGGTGCTTGCATTCATGCTGACTCCATTATAATCACTGAAAAGGTAGGATTTGCAATCAGTTATTGGTATAGGTCAAACTTTCTGGACACCCGAATACAAATTAACTAGTAAGATAATATAGTTAATGTAAAATGCTGAGCTTTTCACACAGGCCACCAAATGATGGCTCTCATGTGGTTTCACTACATGAAATCTTTCTCTTGGCTTCATATAGACCCTTTGCTCACTTTCTCTCTGGTCAGTGAAGGAAGCTTTTCTTCAGACAATGTCTTACCTTGTACTGGATGTCCTGGAGAATTTCGGTTACAGCCTTTAGGCCTACATGCTCTTTTCCTATCTGAAATACAGCAAGTGAAGATGAGTTTCAGTCTCTTGCTATTTCAGAAACTGTGAGGCAAAACAGAGGTCAACCAGACCAGTAAGTTCTATAGTTGTTTTTACATAGGCTACACAAACTTCTGTTAATCAAATACACTGATACACAGCAACTTCAAACAATTAAATCATTACAAAACCACCGGTCAAAAGTAAACAAGGTTTAAATACTTTAAAGTAGAGACAGAAACTCACAGAAAAAGAGTCACAGTTAAGTCCACTAAGTCTTGACTAACCCTGTTTTTCAGCATACACTCTATGTGGAGTCAAAATCCTGCAGTATTATGACATATAAATGCCAAGGATACAGTTTGTCCTTACCAGTTTTTGTCAGAAAAGTATACAGAAAGGAACAGGGTGAACAAGCATGACAGACACTTTTTGAATTTGTTCCCACAGCGTTGCAAATCTGGCCCAAGGTATCTATGAAGCTTGGGGGAGTTTTTTCCTGCCTTCAGAGCACAGAATGGCAGATTCCCTCCCTCATGACATCTCTGGGATCCTGCCAGTGAAAGCTGGGCTCCCAGCAGGCTGCGGCACTGCCTTTACCAAACACCTTTAAGGCACAGAAGATGGGGCTCTTAAAAGAAACACATTGTTGAAATAAGAGATTCTAATTTTACATGAACGTAGTTCACCCTGCACACTGAATTCAGCTGCTTCTGACCTAAATAACCCATTCCAGGACCCAAGCTTTTACCTGCAGAACAACATTGTCAAAATTGGAAGACACAGAATGGCCTTCCACTTGACTTCTCTGTCAACATGCATGCACATGAGGTGAGGAAATAAGCCAGTATGAGTAAGAACATGAGAGCTAGACCTGAAAAATTTGTTTGCTCTTTGTTTCTCTTGGAATCGAATGACATAGTAGTCACTGGAAGGAAACAATTGAATGTCAACAAAAAGTACTTTGTTATTTCTATGAATTTAACAGGATTTTCTTTTGTTTGAGAACAGAATTTCAATTGAAAACCTTCAAAGTAGGTAACAGATATTGAAGTCACTTCAAAGATGCTGTTTCTAAATTAATAATCCCCAAGGGCTGTCACTTATATCAGTGAAAATATTTTCACTGGCCTTAAAATGATATATTTGAGAAGTGTGATGCAAAATTATATTTTCATGCCTTTACTGGGAAAAAATGGTCACTGAATTTCCTCTCCCTGATCCTTTAATAAAGAGCATAAATATTATTTTCTTCTGGTCAATTGTAATTATGTGATGCCTTTCTTGGCTAATGAAAAAGCCTTTTGGAATGCTTAAGAACACTGATGAAGGTGAGAGACCAGAAATGGAAAATGTATCATTGAAGTTTCAGATTTATTTAAGAACTTATATATAACTTTCTGACTAACTCGAAGGTTACCTCTGTTGGAATGAGAAGGTGACTTATATAAGCAATTATCACACAGCCCTCTAGGATACAAAACTGAAGACTTTATAACTTCCATTTTTAGCAGTTCTATCTGAGTGTTGAGGTAATAACCAACATACCTTCAAATTCAGAGGTAAAGCTCAAAGGCATTCATAAACTCGTTATGAAATACGACAAATTACTAATATTACTGTGAAAGAAAATCCATTTGATCTAAGCATGAACTCTAAACCTCTTCCTCCAAACCCATTTAAATGAAACGGTTTGCCGTTCCTCATGAAGAGGATGAGAATCTGGTATTTGAGGACTAAAACAGAAAATCTTTATAGGGTGCAGACCTTGAAAAACCTTCAACAGCAATTAGATTATGGCATTAACTTTCCAGCTTTCATTACACCTTGTTCCCAGGAAGCTTTAAGCCTCCTCATTGCAGGCTTTTCTGAGGGTCTGTGGCAAGACTTGTTAGCACCCTCGGTCTCTGAAGAAGTAATATGACTACCCGAACAGTAGGCCTGGCCAGAAACGGAAAAAACACACCACAGAGATAGTGAAGCACTTGTACATCTTGACAGCCCTCATTCTGCCCTCAAAGGAATGGAGATTGGATGTCTACTTATGGTCAACTATATATTATCTCTTCTTTAACTAACATAATTCCAATATCCTGTTTAAACAAGAATTACTTGGCACATCCATAGAAGATGTGACTGAGAAGTATCTTTTGAATAGAATACTAGCAGTCATACATTGTTTTATTTTATGAAATCATTACAAATTAAATAAAATGGAAAGGACCTCATTATCCTCAGACAAATGACAGTGCTTCATAACAAATGTAACCCAGGAAACTTACCTGCACAAACAAAGCAATAATAGCTATTCCATGCTTCTTCCCTACTGCCTCGTCAATGCTGCTGTACAGTGTAGAGTTCCAGTGCATTAGATGAAGCTAAAACAAAGCAGTGCAAATAGACCAATAGAGAAATATGTTTTGCAATAAAAAACCACCAGCAATTAACATCAATTAACAAAGCTTTAGCATGTGCATGACTACACATATGTGCATGACTATACATATGTGCATGCCCATGGTTGTGCACGTATAGATAAGTGCATTACTATTATAAATATCAGGAACACCAAGAAAAAACATCAGCTGCAGATAAAGTGATGCATAGCCACTTACCAAATATATACAGCAAAGGTGTGAATGATTGTACTAATTATGATTTACCAACTCACTCACTTTGAATACTGAAATAACATCAGCTATTGAAGCCCACCAACACGGCCTCTCAGCCATCCCACTGTCTCCCAAGGTAGGAGAATTATTATGCACAGAGGTTGTCCAAACACACGTTAGACTGACTGACTCTACTATCTTAACATCACGCCTCCCGAGATGAGTCACTCAAACGTCAGTAGTAAGAGTGGAAGTGATTTTGGGAAAAGTTAAATGTAGAGAAAGTCAAGCAGAGAAAAGTGGCTGGAGGACCACCTTAGGACAGCCAAGAAAGAAAGGGATGGTAAAGGGGAAAATATGAGCCCTCGACTGCCTTCTTCCACAGGGCAGCAGGGCCTGCAGGAGTTAATGGATGAAACCATGGCAGGCACTACATATCGGATAACAAACACAAAGTCTGTTCTGGTCAAGTGTCATAGCACCATGTGGGAAGTGGTGTTTGAGCAAAGTGCTGGAAGACAGATTATCAGGTGGTTGGAAAGGGGGGAAAGAAGGTAGGGGAAGGAAGATGGGGGGTAAAGAGAAAAGTACTGTAAAAGAGAGTGACAGTTGGGGGGGGAAGGAGGAAGGGAGGGAGGAAGGAAGGAAAGAAGGAAGGAAGCAAAGAAGGAAGGAAGGAAGGAAGGGTACTATCTGCTGAAAGATAACATACATTTCGAACATGAGTTTTTCCAGAAATAATGCTAAAATGTAATCTTTGTGACTAGGTTTGATAACACTGCAGAACTTGAACATCCCAAGCAGAGCAGCTTTGAAGTTTATCTGTCAACTTTTGCACATTTCACAGAGATAAAACAGCTAAGAAAATACAAACTCTTAGACTTACTTCCTGTTGTAAAATCATTATTAATATTTTGCTCAGTCATGTGTCTAAAGAAGTTAAAATGTCACCCTGATATCCAACGTTGTTTCCAACTTCAGCAAAATTAGTTTTTAAACAGATAATATATCTTCCTATTTTGTGTTTTATTTCTTCACAATAACAGCCTCTGTGAAATGCTTACTGCCCCTTGAACAACAGGAGTTCACTCAGGCATTTCAGCATCACAGAAGATGAGTTCTTCAAGCAATCACTCTCCACTTATTTAATCTCCAATAAGAATTTTAGGCACTGCTCTTGATGATTATCATTTCAAAAGTAAATACAAACATTTAAATGAACATACTGTAAATTGATTTAAATTCCAGATTATCATCCAAACAATTCTATTAATTCTGATCAAAAGTGTCTGCTGCAAAAAAACATGGAACACTTTTCTTAAGAAATATAATAATTCATTTGCACATGAGAACACTAATACAAATAATCTACTTGCCCATGGCTACAAAACTTGTAGATTTACAAATGTTCCCTGTTACAACTAAGCTATTTATTGCCCATGGATTTACTTTGTGTTGTGCATTTTATCATGTATAAAAAGCTTTGTTACATATTTGATTTGTCTTTGGATTTTAAAGGAACAAAACCAGAGGATAAAATAATATTTCAGTCTCCAAGGCTTCCTTTGGCAGGCACAGAGCCACCACCACCCGGGAAGATAAAGCCAAAGCACTCCACTTTTCCACAGATGAGCCTGGCATTTGCACCAGCTCCTCACTAGAGGGAGATCACACAATCTCACAGTCCTCACCAAAATCCTGACATTAAGAAGGAAATGTGAAAGAAAAAGTTTGGAGTGACTGCAGCAGGGATGGCAGCGTCCTTGGTGCAGCGAGAACAGCGCTGCATGGCACGTGGCACAAAGCTTGTCCTTTGGTGGCTGGAACAACAGCACCAAGGGCAATCGCCAAACGTAAAGAGACCATGACTTTGCCTGTGTCAACAGGCGGGTCTTGGCTGGAGCTGCTGTGGCATTCAACGTGTTGTACTACTTTGGAGGTGAAGTCTAATCTGATATCTGTCTGCATTTTGACAGCAGCAGGCTTTTTAAGATCTGAAAGGAAAATATTGAGTCCAAGAAAGGGGAAAATGAGCAAGCGCTTCAAACCGTACAAGCAATGACTCCAATTTATCCAGAAACATATTTTTGTCCTGTTTTAGGCAGTAGGTTCATCAGGGCAGGGACTTTCCTATGATAAGGCTGTATCATGTAGAAAAATTACACCAAAACCTCTGTGTAATACTGTAATGCATTAAGAGTTATAGAATTAGCCCGTTCAATAGCCTGACAGGAAGATATGATACAAAATACACTCATGTGATGCATGAGAGAAGAACCATAGTACAAGAGTATCTTTACATCTGTGCATCCTCTCCAAGCCTCCTTCCTTTCCACTGGCTCAGTAGAGATCAGAATGGTCTACTCAAAAAAAAACCCAAAAAGACAACAACAAAAAAACCCCACCACCATAACACCAACACCACTTGACTAAAAGGAAGAACTTCTTTCCTGTGCAGGTGACCACACACTGGAACAGATTGCCCAGGGAAATTGTGGAGTCTGGATATATTCAAGAACTGTCTGAATGCAAACCTGTGCAGTGTGCTCTAGGATGATTCTTCTTGAGCAGGGAGATTGGACCAGATGACCCACTGTGGTCCCCTTAGCCTTACCCATTCTGTGATTTTGTGATATCACAAAGACAAAAAAGGAATGTATTTAAAGCTAATGTTGACACCCCTAGACTAGGTTCAGGTTTAATAATCAGCATTACTAAAGGTACTGAAGGATAGGCAGTCAGCACTTTCTGGTCCAAAGGTTTCTGTCGAGGACCAGGAATCGGAATGGGAACAATTCCGGAAATGGAAAAATATGTACAGCGATAGAACGGACTTTATGATTCGGACTTTATAGTTGTTGTGCATGTACACATTGTGTGTTCCCCCAGAATTTGTATCTTCCGGGCACGTCCCGGCCTGCTCACCTCCCTGCTCCTCTGTCTTCTCTGCAGATTGGCTGGAGAAGCTGCGGCAGGAGACAGCCCCCATTCGCCCTTTCCTCCCCTGGTCCCTCCTGCGCTCCCCCCCACTTTTGCCCATGGCCCAATCCTGGTTTGTCCCCCCGCCTGTCTGTCTCCTGCTCCGCCCTACGTTCTGGTCCTTTCCCTCCGGATAAAAACCCCGCGTGCGCGCTGGAATAGAGATTCTACCTGCACCCCACCTTTGTGTCTGGAATCCGTGCTGTGTCGCGGCCCCATTCCCCTCCCCCAGTTCGGACCGCGGCAGGTTTCTGTAACTTGAGGATGTTTAAATTCCATAGTAGGGTCCTTGGAACAAGAATCATCATTTTGTACTGGATTGTTAAAGCCCGAAGTAGAATGAACTTCTGATCTGTGTTTAAGATGCTACTGTGTTACTTCTTTAAAGGTGGTGACAATTACAGTGGATTGGTGATATATTTTTTACACAGCAGGTTGCAAACTTGCTGTCACAGACACTGTGGTGCCAAACACTGTCAGCAGGTTCATAAATGAGCTAGACAAATTATGGACAAGTCAAAAAGAGACATTAAAGAAAAGAGGTAGAGAGTACTCCTAGTCCTATGATGGTAAATGAACAGGGAATAAACCAAAAAGCCGTCAGGCTCATGTGCTTTTCCTACACAGCATCCCTTGTTAACCCTGCTAACAACAGCACACTGGATGGACTGTTCACCTGATACAGCAGGGAATTTATTCTGTTCTCATGTCCTAAATCAAGGTGATATTCAGAATTAGCTATTCACAGAAAATATTCTGTCATTAGGGATTTACAAATCTAAATTAGACAGGCAACCTAAAGGAAAATAATAATCAATACCATAATATTTCCTAACAACAGGCCTATAGGCCTCATATCTTTTGTTTTAACTCTATAAGGCCATGCATGTACACTAAAATAAATAAACAGATGCAGACATGCACTTAAAAAACTGGAAGTCAAATCAACTTATTTCTTCTACAAGGTAGGAAAAATGTAACTCAGAGGGGGGCTGGGGAAGTACATGAAAAAATTATTCAGAAAGTGAAGTAGCAAGGAAGTAGTAAATGAGTGTTTGTAGTAAAGTGTTTTTTCCCAGTCATGTTTTATCCTGTGTATTTCTGGTTCTCTGAAGCAGTTCTGACTCTTGTGTGCTCTTTTTTATTTCTAATATGACATCAGATATAAACAACAGATGACAGATTTTTAGAAAGATGGTAAAAAAAAGTCTATAAACATTACAAAATTCGAACTCTTGAGAGTACAGTCCACAAACAATATGGTCTGTAACTCTTTTTAATATTTAGTGGAATCAAATATTCAGAGAGGGAAGACCCCAGTGGTTTCACAAACCTTGAAACTCTCAATATGATATAATGCCCATGCACACAGACAACTTCATATCCATGCATCTGTGTCTTACAACTAGGAATAATCACAGAGGCTATTAGATTAATGTTCTGTATTTTAATAACCTTCACTTACAGACTGATTTGAGATAGCTGCACAAAAAGTGCACACTCATAAGGAGTGCCAGTCCCTGATATGAACACAACCATGAGGGTTTTTTAAACAATCAGCTGCAGTGCATTGGCAGCTTACCATTGTGTGGTTCTCATTCAGAGTACAAAGAAGCCGCACATGTCAGTATGGCAGGAGAGGCTGTGCTCAAATTGTTAGCTAATGTTTTGATACTTGGTAGTTACAATGGTTATACACAACCAAAATCTGTCAGCTATATGGTTACCGATTATCAGTGGCTGGCTTGACATACCAGAGAGTATATTTTTCAAAATAATAAGAAAGG